AAAAAAAAAAAAAAAAAAAAAAAAAAAAAAAAAAAAAAAAAAAAAAAAAAATCAACATCATCAACGAGGGAGAGAGAGGGACAGTGTGGGCCTCCAGATATGATACCCTGAGAAGGACACAACATCATCTATGTAATATTCAAGAATGCAATATGTGAAGAATACACATTCAAATATGCCAAGAATGCATAATGTGAATCTAATGATGAGGAAATCAGGAGGAAATGTCAGACAAAGCCCAAATGAGAAAAAGTCTATTAAAAAGAGGGGGAGCAGTATTCTTCAAAAACATTAATGTCATAAAAGACAAAGGCTGTTGGAACGTTCCAGATTAAAAGTGGCTAAGAGACATGACAAAGAGTGCAACAGCTTATCATCAACTGGATCCTGCACGGAGGGTGAAAATGTTATAAAGGACATTATTGGGTCAACTGACAAAATTAACAGATGAATAGTAAAGTATGGTATCAATGTTAAAGTTCCTAATGCCATTAACTGTACTACGATTATGAAAGAGAATATCCCTAATTGTTAGGAAATGCATACCGAATGCAACAGGAAAAAAAAGACACACAGGAAGAGCTAGAGAGAGTATGCAGATGACCAAGGCAAATTCAATCAAACTTTAATAACCTAGGTACTGGGATATGGGTGTTCTCTGCACTATTTTTATCCTTGCAACTTTTCTGGAGACAAAAACAGTGAGCGCAAGGCCCATCAAGGCTCTCTACCATGTGAGCACCGGAGAGGAGCAGTGTGGGAGCTCAGCAGGGGAGCCTCAATGCCCCGTGTTCAGCAGCCCACAATGCAAGATTAGGATGGGAGGCAGGAGTCACCAGGAACGCAAAAGTGCATGAATTCGTGACCACGCTCAGTCACCCCTCCGGCCTCAACACTAGATGCTAGCCCCATCGTTCTCACAACACCTTCCATTTCAAAGTGAAAAGGCAAACCTTGCAAAACGCCTGGTGCTTCATGAAGTCAAAGGAAAGTGACACTGGAGAACTGCCTGAATCACTGGGAAACTACGGACAAGGAGGACCTGGCAGTCAGTTAGGGTGCCTCCGGCTGAAGGCAATGCAAGGCTGGTGATCCAGCAAGTGCTTTCACAGAGAACAATTTGAAAACCAAAGGGGTGATTAAGACAGGCACTTGGGAAAACTAATGCTGTCCTGGAATATTTTTGCAGAAATAATTCCTTCTACTATTAAGCTCCAAGAGTCAAATGGAAGACGCATGTGCCAGCTGTGAGGAAAGCTACGTGCATATATGACGCAGGGAGGGGCCAGTGCATGCACAGCTCATTCTTTGGTTCATCCTAAGCCAGCAAATGGTGGTGATTATAATCCGAATTCTGTTAATTGCAAGATAATATATACATATTTTCATACTTTAAAGAAAACATTAGGGTAGGGCTGGCTGGTTAGCTCCGGTGGTGAGAGCGTGGTGCTGAAAACGCCAAGGTCGGGCCGGCCCGTGGCTCACTCGGTAGAGTGCGGTGCTGATAACACCAAGGCCACGGGTTTGGATCCCATATAGGGATGGCCGGTTCGCTCACTGGCTGAGCGTGGTGCTGACAACACCAAGTCAAGGGTTGAGATCCCCTTACCGGTCATCTTTAAAAAAAAAAAAAAAAAAAAAGAAAACGCCAAGGTCCAGGGTTCCATCCCTGTACCAGCCACCCGCCAAAAACAAAAGAAAAAAATTAGGGTAAAACCCCACCAAAACTGTTTTTCTCACACATCTCACACACTTTACTACAACATTTTGGTCTCCATTTTAAGTCTTTTCACCTCAGGTGGCCCCTCCTAGTATGACTTATCCTCAGATAATGAGGTCCCCCTCAGGCCACCCTACTGCTGTGCATGAAACACCTCCACCCCCAGTTCCTCTGAAACTGCTCTTTTTTAGGGTAATCAATAACCTCCTGGTTGTCCAACCCCAAGGACACTTCTTAGATCTCTTCTCCCTAGGCCAGTTTCCTTATCTGGAAAAGGGAGATAACTAAGTACCGCATGCACGAAGTTCCTGTGACCACAACATGCTCCCGGTGCCTTTTCTGCCGGCCACTGTGACTGGACCTCCCGGCTGCATCTCACACGCTGACTGTTCTCCTGGCAAGTCTCCTCTCTCTGGGCTTCCGTTGCTTCTCTCTCCTAGTCACCCTCCCTCTTGGGTATATTGGCACTCATTTTGAAGGCAGATTTCAGTTTCATCACTCACCAGCTGAACGACCTTCAGCAAATTACTTGCCCCTGCTGACTGCATCGGCTTCCTTTTATTAAATGAGATGTTAGGGCCGGCCCGTGGCTCACTCGGGAGAGTGCGGTGCTGATAACACCAAGGCCACGGGTTCGGATCCCATATAGGGATGGCAGGTTCGCTCACTGGCTGAGCGTGGTGCTGACAACACCAAGTCAAGGGTTGAGATCCCCTTACCGGTCATCTTTAAAAAAAAAAAAAATAAATAAAAAAAAATAAATGAGATGTTGTGTATAACATGTCACCACTCAGCAGTAACTGTCAGTTCTTTCCCTTCCTTCCTGAACACTGTGGCTACCCCACTCATCTCCTTCCATGCTTGACACGCTTTTATTTTTTGGTGGGTGGCCGATAGAGGGATGGGACCCTGGACCTTGGTGTGATCAGTACTGCGCTCTCACCAACTGAGCTAACCAGCTGGACCCCCTTGACACACTTCTCATAGAGGAGCTTACCTACTCTCACAGTGGTTACAACTGGACTAACAATCTGTATCACTAGATTGAATTCTCCTCCATGCTTCAGACAGGAATAAACTACTACAGGAGCCCATTCGTCTAATTTACAACAGCACTGGCCAACAGAGCTTTGTGCAATAATGGAAATGTTCTGCATGTGCACTGACCAATACGGAAGCCATTAGCCAGGTGTGGTTACGGAGCACTTGAAACATGGCTAGTGTGACTCAGGAACAGATTCCCCCCCCTAAACCACCTGCATTCCCTCCTCTGCCTCTGTACATGTTTCTCTCACTGGGATGCCTAATGGGCACCTCAAAACAAATCACCTCCAAACTTTTCACCCCACCCCCTCACAGTTCCTTTCTCAGGCATTAGCTCCTACAGCAAGTCCCCGAGCCAGCAACGACTGTACTGTTTCCAACTAATCACTAAGTTATGCTAACTTGTATAGTTTATTTGTCCAAAAGGGCACTTCCCCCTTTTGAGTTTACCCAGGCACAACAAAGCCTAATGGGGCATCACCACAGAACTAACCATGGCAGAGCTCAAAGTGAATCGCTTTATACTACTTTTGCCATTTTCAAAGACATGAGGCTGGTTTTGTGTTTGAGTCCCACCAAATGGTAAAAGTAGGCATTCTGACACCTCATAACTACAAACATTTAAACAGGCATTTGTCAGTAAAGAAATGTATTGAGGGGCTGGCCGGTTAGCTCAGTTGCTTAGAGTGTGGTGATTATAACACCAAGGTCAAGGGTTCAGATCCCCATACTGGCCAGCTGCCAAAGAACAAACAAACAAACAAACAAACAAAGAAATGTATGGAATAAGTTTCCTGAACACCCATGACTTTTCATGGCCTTCTGTCACTGCAGGTGCAGTCACTCCCCTGGAAAACTCTTCTTTTTCTTTCTCCTGAAGAGAATGGGAAGGGAGCCAACACTTGCTAAGAGCCTATTATGCGTACATCGTACACTGTGCTGGGTGCGTGGCTCCCCAGAGAGGCTGACACTGGCTGACCTCACCCACTGACCCAGCCAAAGGGAACAACTTACTCCCTTCCTTTAAACCCCGAAGGCTTATGGGTTTGTCTCTCCCACTAGTCTTTGTGCTACCCAAAGGATGGGGCCATTATGTGCACATTCTCGTATTCTCAGAGCCTCAGCATGGTGTCTAACACATAATAGGTGCTCAGTAAAACTTGGCAGGTTAGGTTTGACAAACCTATACTATACCTGACTTCTTTGTATGCTGCTCCTCCACAAATTTTTTCTGTTCCTTATGAAAATCGCCTATAATTGTCTGTTAAAAAAATACATAATCAAATTATTTTGAAAAGTTTATTATTAGATAACAATTACATTAAAGATTTTTGAAGTCTATTTGAGAAATTTTATTCATCTTCTTTGGATAAAAAGGCTAAAAAAGTGGTATGTCCCAATTTCCCCAACGGGAGGGGATCTTCAATGTTTTTGAGTTTTAAGGGTACAACCTCCTTTATGACACATTATCTCTTCAAATGCAAAAATCAAATGAGTTAAAAACTCAATTCTTGGGCCGGCCCGTGGCTCACTCGGGAGAGTGCGGTGCTGATAACACCAAGGCCCCGGGTTCGGATCCCACATAGGGATGGCTGGTTCGCTCACTGGCTGAGCATGGTGCTGACAACACCAAGCCAAGGGTTAAGATCCCCTTACCGGTCATCTTTATAAAAAAAACAAACAAACAAACAAACAAACAAAAACTCAATTCTTGTATTATTCCATAAAACAGTAAAAGACAGGTGAATTCTCATTTTAACAAATAGTATGCATGGCAAAAATATCTAAATAACAATTAAATAAGGTTTTTTTTTTTTTGTCTTTTTGTCTTTTTTCGTGACCAGCAACGGATCGCAACCCTCAGTGTCACACCCGTACCGGACCGGGACCGGCCACGGGATCGCAACCCTCGGTGTTGCCCCTGCTCCTCGCTCAGCCAGTGAGCGGCCGGTCTGTATGTGGGATCCGAACCCTCGGCGGGAGCGCCGCCACGCTTCCCAAGCGGCGCACTGTAGCAGTGCGCCACCAGGCCGCCCCTAAATAAGGTTTAACTGATGACTTCCTTAGTTCAAAAAATTACCAACAGAAATGTAATTTCCTAGTCCTATACCTTAGTACCACAAAAAACAAACTCACTCATTCCTTAGAGTCTTAAAAGGGTTGTTCCTAATGGGCTAGGACTTTAAAAACGTAACTGAATGTTGCAAAGGTATAAATATATCCTGAAATATAGTTTAAAATTAAACTCACATGAAAAGTTTAGTATAACCCAAAAGTATCTATGTATTTTAGAATATGTTAAAATAAAAACCAAAGTTATTTAAATCAAGCAATTTATATCATAGTTGCTTGTTATATACGAGAGAAAAATAACCAAGAATCTCAACAATTAATATTTTTATCAGATTAATATGAGATTATCCTACTTTGGTTAAAAAATGTTCATAAGAAAAAGGGACAATTACATCAACTGCTAATGAATTTCACGAATTTTTACTTTCAAAATATATTTAAATATACCTTATCAATGATGTCATCTATTTTTCCTTCTTCCACAGATTTCTTGATCGTTTGTGCTGTTTCAGCAACTGATTCTGTTATCTTTTTGGTGGCAGCAGTTGCAAAGTTAAATAGATAGTCTGTAAAGAATAAAAAGAATATATGTTCCATTCAAGTACATGGTTATTGCAGTTGCGATTTTTCCCTTAAAGACTCTAAAATGATAGGGCATGTTCTTTGTCACAAATTAGGACTTGAGGGGCTGGCCAGATAGTTCAGTTGGTTGGAGCACAGCCTTATAACACCAAGGTCACAGGTTTGGATCCCTATAACGGTCAGCCACCCAAAACAAAACAACAAATTAGGACTTGAAACAAGGAATGAGAAGCACTGATAATGCTTTTAGACCGCTCGACCACGCTACCAGACCCGATAATGCTTTTAAAAGCACCATTTTCTTGGTGCGCTGGCCATCCATATTGGGTTTTTAATTCTCTCTTTCATAGACCATTAGCATACTCTCCCTAGTAACTGTTTCAAACTTTTCTTGGCCTTCTCAAGTCTCTAGCTCTAACTTATCTCAGTAAATAATCTCCCCTCCTACTTTACAGATAAGATCCCAAGTATCCCATCTTTATTTTTTCATCCTTCCCTCCTGTTGAAAGAAAAAATGTCCTTCCTTTCCCAGATTAACCCATCCCATCATAAATCTGGGGGAATTTTTAATAAACAGAAATCTTAACAAACCCTAATAGAAATATAAATCCTTCTTAACAATAATGAGCAAATATGCTGAACAAGATTAAAACTAGAACACACACTTTCTTTTTTTTTTTTGTCTTTTTTCGTGACCGGCAACGGGATCGCAACCCTTGGCGTTGCTCCCGCACCTCGCTCAGCCAGTGAGCGGGAACCGGTCTGTATGTGGGATCCGAACCCTCGGCGGGAGCGCCGCCGCGCTTCCCAAGCGGTGCACTGTAGCAGTGCGCCACCGGGCCGGCCCCAGAACACACACTTTCACTTTTACAAAACAAAACCACAAAATTAGCTTTCCTGAAGTATGAAAAATATGTCAAGGCTCTATTGCACTCTAATATAAAGGCCCATTTGTAAACAAATATCACTTCAAAGTTCACACTGCAAAATCCAGGGTGTAGGAAGAACCTGAGGCAGGTCCTGAAGCTGGACTTGCTGGGGAAGGCGTCCCGGCAACCGACATCAGTGCACAGGAAATATTCACCATGTTAGGGCAGTCTTGCCTGTTACTTGCACCTGTTGAGGGGCAGGCAGTGGACTCTCACAACCCTGAGGCAGGAGAAGGCTGCGGTAAGAATGGGGAAGGGAGCTGGGCACACCTAATTACATCCTCACTCTGTGGGTGGTATCACTTCCAGGGAATGGGCAGCTTGTATGGGCATCTGGGAGCCTGCAGTATTATCTTCCAATCTGAATGACCCTCTCTTCAACTTTCCAAATCCTTTACCATTAAACAGTCTACTTTGCCCCATTGTCTGGTGGCATCAACACCCCATTTGACTGGTCACAGGATTCTGGTCTCGTTCTCACCATTCTCCCCCCTCGTAGTTTACATTCATATGACCACAGGGAAATGCTTTAGTACCTCCAAGAAGACCTTAAATATGTTACTCCTTGGTTTTAAACACTTTTATCTGTCCTCCCTTTACGTGGCTAACTCTATACATCCTGTGGATCTCTACTTAAATACCAGTTCTCCTTGGGAAATGTTCCCCGGCACCTTGACTAGGGTAGGTGACCCAGTATGTGTTCTTTCATCATCTTGTTTTGCCCAATCAACAATATTCATGACACCATATCAATTACTTGGTGAATATCTTCTCAGTTAGACTGAGGGGCCCATCCTAAGCCCCATCAGGGCAGGCACCAAGGCTGTCTGATTCACCATTGTATCCCCAGCTGGTGAGCAATAAGTACTTGCTGAATGGATGAATGGGAAATGACATCATAAATGCTTAGCTTTAGGGAGATCACTCATTTCTCTTTGGTTATGACTAGTCTATGTACAGAGTGGTGTGATAAAACGAGCAGACAGCCACAGTACTTTGTAAAACTATTCTTTGCAAACAGATGAAGAAATCTAGTTCTAAAAGAACAGTGTTCCTTTTAAGATTTTCTCAGAAATACATTTTGAATTCACACTGTCATTTTTATTCTAAGGGAGAACTGTCACTTAAAAACTGGTATTTTAGCATAATAACCTTAATTCTCAGTTAAATTTCAATGACTCTGTGGGTGGAGTTTATGAATACACTGAATCTGAGAAAGCACAATTCTCACCCTCAAGGAATGTCCATTTCTAAACCAAAATAAACAAATAAAAGAAACAAAGACAATAAGAGGAGCAAGATTATTCATTAAACAGAGGTGGCAGGCCTCAGAGAACACAGGGAGGGAGACATCTGGAGAGTACAGTGGCCTGAGCTCCCAGGTCAGTGGGACTGAGGAGAGGACAGGAAGAGATTTTCAAGTAAGAAGCCCAGAGATCAGCTGACACCAAGTTAAAGACAGTTTTTATTAAGTGGCTAGGAAAAAAAACTGAGACTTAGATATGAGTCAACAGGAAATAACAGGAGTATAATGTCTACTTCAGGAAATTTGGTACAAAGATAGGGTCTGAAATTAAGTAGCAACTAAGGCCCTTCCTCCATTCCTGGGCGTGGGCTGGTCTTAAGGATAGTTTTTTTTTTTTTTTGTCTTTTTCCGTGTCCGGCAACGGATTGCAACCCTCAGTGTTGCCCCCGTACCGGACCGGGGACCGGCAAACGGGATTGCAACCCTCGGTGTTGCTCCCGCGCCTCGCTCAGCCAGTGA